GGGAGTGAAATGGCTGTCGTTAAAGACCCTTTTTGATGTTTAGGACGGGTGGGACGGAGACTCTCTGACAATCACGAGGCAGAAGTCTGCAGTAGTGTGTGTCGCTGTAGCATCCCCATAAGAAACGAAATGTTTCGTCAACAAGAGACATTTCACGTTGGTTGGACTAATTGGCAGGGCTGGCAAAAAGAATTAAATCTTATTTTAAAATTAGCCCTCGCGAGAGCAAAATATTTTGCCCGGACAAACTATTTTGCCCAAGGGCAAAATCATAAAGCCCTTTCGAAATTGGTCCTCAAAGGGCTAAACCTTATAATAATAATTTTACCCTGGGCAAATTTCTGGGGCAAAAATCCTTTTTATCTCCGAGGGCAGAATTTGATGATTGGGCTTAATTAAACCCGAAAATAAATAAGGTCCCACGAGCCCGAGATTAGACAGACTACCCGAAATGCGTCCGGGGATGCTCGCTCGAGTTCTAGAACTCGGAGTTTGGGCAGGTGGCAAGACTCCGTTTGGGTTGCGAGGATTTTCGTGGTCCAGGAGTGAAATGTCTGAAAATTTCAAACACTAATTTAATTTTAATGTAATTTAATTCAATTTAATTTTACCCCCGAATTTAAGATTTAATTTTTTTGACCCAAGGGCAAAATCATTTTGATTTAGCATTTAAAAGTCCACGGGTTTTACCCCGTGGATTTAATTTTGCCCAGTAATAAAGTCCCTATTTCAATTCTGCCCATTTAAATTTTGCCCTCAGGAAGAACCCCTTATTATCGGGGGAATATAATTTAATTTAATTTATTTTGCCAGCCCTGCCCCTTAGTTGGATAATAAGCCTTATCGCCTTTTCCCAGGCGGAAAACATTCATAACGCCCTACACAGGTGGGACGTACCGCCTTTGTTCTACCAGTGTCATCAGCATGGTAGTGGTACAAGTTTTGCCGCTACGATACTTTCATATGCCAATGCCAATAGGGTGTTCCAGGCCATCTGAAACGAAAGTAGGAAAAGAACAAACTCACAGCCTTTGCGGCCTTTCAGGTGTAAAAACTGTCAGAATAGTTTCGAGCTCCCCTCCATATTTAAGAGGTTAGAATCGGACCAAACTGCCATGGTAGTTTCTTATGCTGGGCGGACGGAAACAGATAAATCAGTGAGTTTGTTCTTTTTCACTTCCGTTTTAGATCCTGGCTCGAGCACCC